CACTTGAGCCATCAACTGTTGCCTCCCAGGGTATGGATGAGCAGAAATGAAGAATCCGAGCTAGGTACTGAACCCAGGTACACTTTTATGGGATGCAGGTATCCTAACTGGCATCTTAATCGCTAGGCCAAAAGCCTACCTTGAAATATTCTGTTAAAAGATTAATACTATTTCTTTTTTAAAATTTATTTTATTTGAAAGGCAGGGTTAGAGAGAGAATCGAGAGATCTTCTGTCTGCTGGATCACACCCCAAATGGCTGCAATGGCAGATCTGGGCCAGATTGAAACCAGGAGTTTCTTCAGGTCTCCCATGTGGGTGCAGGGGCTGAAGCACTTGGGCCATCCTCTGCTGCTTTCCCAGGCTCATTAATAGAGAGCTGGGTTGGAAGTAGAGCAGCCAAAATTGAACCAGTGGCCATAGGGGATGCCAACATCGCAGGCAGCAGCTTAACCTGCTAAACCACAGTGCTGGCCCCAATATTATTTTTTTCTTTTCTTTTCTTTTTTTTTTTTTTCTTTTTTTTAGACAGGCAGAGTGGACGGTGAGAGAGAGAGAGAGAGAGAGAGAGGGAGGGAGGGAGGGAGGGAGGGAGGAAGGTCTTCCTTCTGTTGGTTCACCTCCCAGATGGTTGCAACGGCTAGAGCTATGCCTATCCGAAGCCAGGAGCCAGGTGCTTCCTCCTGGTGTCCCATGCGGGTGCAGGGCCCAAGGACTTGGGCCATCCTCCACTGCCTTTCCGGGCCACAGCAGAGAACTGGACTGGAAGAGGAGCAACCGGGACAGAATCCGGCACCCCAACCAGGACTAGAACCTGGGGTACTGGCGCTGCAGGCAGAGGATTAGCCAAGTGAGCCGCGGCGCCGGCCTTCCTTTCCTTTTTCTAAACTTTGGTAGAAGGTTTCTAATTATCACAACCCTTTTAACAAATATGGCTGTTTGCCAAGACACTGTGGCAAAAAATGACCTACTTGAAAGATCTCTGTGAGTGAGATCCCGGTGGAAAGAAGGGGCCATCAAAGAAGGAGGTACCTTTCTCTGAAGGGAAGAGAGAACTTCCACTTTGATTATGGCCCTAATAATGTTGGAGTTTGTGTACTCAAGAGGCTTCCATAGCTTTGGCAGATCATGACAAGAGCCTTGGGTGACAGGACTGACGTCATAAATAAGAGTGTCCACTGTTAAATCAACAACAGGAGTCACTGTGCACTTGCTCCCCATGTAAGAACTCTGTCCTTAATGTAAAGTAAAACTTGTCTTCAAACAGTACTTTTTACTGATTGATTAATTCTATAATCAGTCACTTCTGGGTCAGTTTCTATGGATTGATTTTTTATCTTGTTCTGGGTCACATTCTCCCATTTTCTGCATTTTTTTTTTGGTTACTGAATGCTATATATTCTGTGTGCTGTATTATTGGGTGTTGGTGTTTGGATTTTCTTGTTTTTCTTTAAGGAGTATTGAGTTTTGTTGGAAAGGCAGTTCCTAGTAATTTGTTCTCTCCTTATTATTATATGTTATTTACCAAGCCTTGTGGGATCTCACACTTTGCATATATATAGTTTACTATCAAGCCAGATCTATGACAATGCCTGCAGAATTTTTTTGGGGGTATAGTTCTCTCCTCACCAGCCACAAATTCCAGTAATTTTAGTCTGCATGAACTCTGATATCTTTCTCTTCAACTAAGCAAGAACTGTCCTTTGTCTGGGCTCCCAACATTGTCTAGAAAATGTCTCCAGGGAGACAGCCAGGGTAATGACACGTCTGTCTTGTTTTTCAGTCTTGTGCAGTATGTTGTCCAACATCTTAAATTGCTTTTCTATTATTTTGTCCAGTTTTCTAGTTGTTTATGGCAGTAGGGACTGTCACTGTCAGAAGCAGAAGTCTCCAATGATTTTTAGAATCTGTATCTTTATTCTCTATCTTAAAATATTTATTTAGTTTCATTTTAACTGAAAAATACACACACACACACACACACACTTATACACAGAGAGAGACAGATAGACAGAGATGCACACACTGGTTCACTCTCCAAATGCCCACAATAGCCAGGCCAAAGTCAGAAGCCTGGAACTCAATCTGGGTCTCCCATGTGAGTGGCAGAGACCCAGAGACTGAAGTTGTCTATTGCTGCTGCCTCTCAGGGAGTGTATTAGCTGGAAGCTGAATATGAAACATAGCAGCTAGGACTTGAACCAGGCACCTTGGTATGGGAAGTGGGCATTCCAACAGATGTGCCAAAAAGCCTGCCCCTGTTTCTTCTTTTATACTGTGCTTAAAACACTGTGTTTTGGGGCCGGTGCTGAAGAAGATAACCCAAGTCCTTGGGGCCCTGCACCTGCCTGGGAGACCCAGAGGAGGCTCCTGGCTCCTGGCTTGTTATTGGTGCAGATCCAGCCATTGTGGCCATCTGGGGGAGTGAACCATCAGATGGAAGACGTCTCTCTCTCCCTCTCTTTGTCTGTAACTCTGCCTTTCAAATTAATAAATAAATAAATCTTAAAACAACAACAACAACAAGCCCCACTGTTTTTAAAGTCATCAAGAACATGTGGAAATGTGAAAAATGACAACTGGCTATCTGATGATTTTAAAACATTATAAGTTTTTAGAGGTATGATAAAATTAATGCACTTACGTTAAAAGATTTTAAGTAGTACAGGCTAAAATATTCAGATTAAGCAATACAATGTCAATAAATTTTTTTTCAAAAGAAGATAAAATGAGCGGGGATATGTTTATAGAACAATACTAGCCATAAATTGAATAGCTAAAGTTGGGTGGTGGGTTGATTATATGATTTTGTCTACTTCTATACACGTTTAAAATTTCATAACAAACCCAAAATAAGTAGAAGTAATTGCTCTCTCTGTTTATAACTCCAACTTGGGATATACTTGTGTTCAGATGTTTTGTTTTCAATTTTCAGGGACTGTTTTAATTTTTTTTTTTTTTTTGACAGGCAGAGTTAGACAGTAAGAGAGAAACAGAGGGAAAGGTCTTCCTTCCATTGGTTCACCCCAAAATGGCTGCTACGGCTGGTGCACTGCGCTGATCCGAATCCAGGAGCCAGGTGCTTCCTCCTGTTCTCCCATGTGGGTGCAAGGCCCAAGCACTTGGGCCATCCTCCACTGCACTCCCGGGCCACAGCAGAGAGCTGGCTTGGAAGAGGGGCAACCGGGACAGAATTCGGCGTCCCAACCGGGACTAAAACCAGGGGTGCTGGCACTACAGGCGGAGGATTAGCCAAGTGAGCCATGGCGCTGGCCTTAATTTCTTTTTGACGTAATTTATATTTTAATTATGTAAAACATTTACATGAGTATAAAACTAAAACATGATACAGCTGTCCACTCTGTCAGTGGAGATATGTACAAAGACCTTCCTAAGAGGGTGCTTAAAACCTTGGATATTGGCCGGCGCTGCGGCTCACTAGGCTAATCCTCCGCCTAGCGGCGCCAGCACACCAGGTTCTAGTCCCGGTCGGGGCGCCGGATTCTGTCCCGGTTGCCCCTCTTCCAGGCCAGCTCTCTGCTGTGGCCAGGGAGTGCAGTGGAGGATGGCCCAAGTCCTTGGGCCCTGCACCCCATGGGAGACCAGGAGAAGCATCTAGCTCCTGCCATCAGATCAGCGCGGTGCGCCAAATGCAGCGTGCCGGCTGTGGCGGCCATTGGACGGTGAACCAACGGCAAAGGAAGACCTTTCCCTCTCTCTGTCTCTCTCTCTCACTGTCCACTCTGCCTGTCAAAAAAGAAAAAAAAAAAAAGAAAAAAATAATAAAACCTTGGATAGTACCAACTCAACACACCTTATACTTTTCTTCACATATACAAACCTATGATAAAGTTTAATTTGTAAGTTAGGCACAATAAGAGATAAACAAGAACAATAAAGTAGAACAAAATAATACATGGTGATACAAGTTATATAGGACTTAAGAACTGCTTATTTCTTGAATTTTTTCATTTAATTTTTAGTGTATTTTAATATATTAAATATATTGAATATTTTAGTCTGTGGTTAACTGAAGTCACAGAAACGAAACTATAGAAGGGGGGGGGGAAGTGCTACAGAGTTCTCCCTTTCATTCCTGTCCCTTCATGCCCTTTCCCCCATATAAGCAATCATTTGTGTTAGTCTTTAATTGACACACATATTGTTTCTTTTTGAAATATAAGTAATTTATATTTATATAAGTTCTCTGGCTCTACAAAACTATTGTATTATACAAATTCCTATGCAAGTTGCTTTCTTCTTTTAACAGTATGTCCTAGAGATCACTCCAGAACACTATATAGGGATTTGTCTCATTATTTTTATTTAATAAGTTCTCTACTGATACTTGTTATTACAAACAGTAAAAGTGAATAGCCTTGTACTTATGTATGCCCATATTTTATCTATCTATCTTTGGAAAAAGATAGATTTCTAGAAAAAAATGTAGGTTACATGCCATGGTTCTACATATTAAATAGTTAATTTCTTAATCTCTATAATACTAAGTCCTAAAAGGAAACAAAAAATTAAAAGATAATTTATCTAAAGTAGATGTATATGTATATCGCGACTGATACATGACACATTCATGAGTCATTTTCATTTATTAACTGCTCTCAGTACCAATTTTTCTAAACTGTTTAGTCCTGTGTTTATGATTTTAATCTTTTTAAATAGTTATTTATTAACTGTGGCTTTTGAATGATAGCTACTAGTATGTTCTTGGAATATAAATAATTCTAGTAATGTAATTATTGGTATCTGTACTGCATATGACTATAATTTTTTAAAGTTTCACTTTAAATATCAAATATTTCAACATTTTCTTATACTACTCAAATTTTGACTTTCATGTTGCTCTCTCCTTTCAAAATATCTTTCCTCTATAAAACCAAGATGAAATTTCCTAAACATATTCAGTAGACTGTATTTAAAGCTGGAATATATATTCTAGACACAAGGGCCATGACTTACCCTTCTAGAACATACAGTACTTACGCGTCTGTAGTCTTTGTACATCCATTTAGATTCAGTACTTCAATATTCCTACAGTTTTGTGCAAAGGTCCTTTAAAGAAAAAGAAACAAAGTAAATTGTTTCAAATGAAATGGGCAACATTCCAGGCCAAAAACGAAACAAAACAACTAATAAAAGTATGACTGGTAATATTGGTTGTAATATAGCATTGATATTGTGATATGGTAACAAGTACATATTTGGTCTTCATCCCTGGTTCTTGACATAGAATTCCTAAAACACTGTCATCTTCTGAGTGACAGGAATCTCTTTCACCATGCCTATACCTATGTAACAAAAACTCCGTAAAAATTCTTGGGGGGCTGGTGCTGAAGTCTTAACAGGTTAAGTTGCTGCCCACAGTGCTGGCATCCCATATGGGTGAAGTTCAAGTGCCAGCTAGCTGCACTTTTGATCTAGCTCCGTGCTAATGCACCTTAGAAAGCAGCAGTAGATGGTTCAAGTGTTTGGACCCTACCACCCAGGCGGTAGACCCAGATGAAGCTCCTGGCTTCTGACTGGCCCAGCCCAGCTGTTGCAGCCATTTGGGGAATGAACCAGCAGATGGAACATCTCTCTCTCTTTCTCTTACTGCCTTTAAAATAAATAAATGGATTTTATTAAAAAAAAAAAACTTTTGAGTAAAAGGGATGGTAAGACTTCTGCGCCAGTGAACTCAGCCATGTGCCAGGAGGCTGGCCTATCCCAATCCGAGAAATAAATGCCCCTGTGCTTGGGACCCTTCTGGGTCTTGCCCTGAGTGCCTCCTCATCTGGCTGTTCATTTGTCTTCTTTATAAAAACTGGTAAAAGGAACTAAAGTAGTTTCCTGAGTTATGTCAACCATATTAGCAAACTAACTTGCGGTGAGGGTTCATGGGAACCTGTGATTTAAAGCCCACTGCTTAAAAATTTTATGGTAACATAGGGCTTTAAACTGACCCAAAGTAGGGGCAGTTTTGCAGAACTGACCCTTTAGCCTGTAAAAATAAGAGTAAGGGTAAGAGCTAATTCTGATTGTGTCAGAATTAAACTGGATTGAAGGGCATCTATTTGGTGTCCAAAGAATCAAAGAGCTGCTTGTTGGATGGCAGAAAAAACTTACACATTTGTTACGTGAATAAGTGTTGCGAAGAATAGTTGAGAATGGTAGAAAGTAGCATAATTATAATTTTGCCCATAAGCTTTTTAAAAACCCATAACATGGTAAACAGGGATCTTTGTGTCAAACTAATATGACAACATCCTGCTTTGGGGGTAGGCACTTAGCCTACTGGTTAAGATGGCTGTGTCCCATATTGGAGTTCTTGGGTCCAATACCCGGCTCTGTCTCCAGCTCCTGACTCCAGCTTCCTGGTAATATGGACCCTAGGAGGCAGCAGTGATTCTCTCAAGTTACTGGATTCCTGTTACCCACATAAGAGACCTGGATTGAATTTCTGGCTTCTGGTTTTCATCTAGCCCACTCTTGGTTGGTGTACACATTGGGGAAGTAATGAGTAAGAGAATGGGAGTCCTCTCTGTGTCTCTCAAAAAACAAGAAACACTATCCTATATTTGAATAACAAAAGTTTATAAAACAAAACAAAAACTAAAACTTAAGCCTCCAAAAGAAATATTTATGTTGGAAAATCTGGATTTTTGGGAGAAGTACTTGTTCTTGTATATTCCCAAACTACACTTCCTATAACTAGGTACCTTTGGGTTAAAACAATAAATGCATTTGCACTAATACCTTAGGCCTATAAAAACTGGCCCTTTTTTGGGTAAGAAGAAACTGATTTTTAATTAATATTGTTAATTTTAACAGTTATGTTTTTACCTTAATGCATTGTCTCCTACTCCAAGACACCCACGAAGACTTAACTTTCGTAAAAAACCCCCACATCGTTTTGAAATATTCTCCACTACACGGCCCTGTAAAAAGAATTAAACAAAAAGATAACCTACCGTACTGCTTTTGAAGTGGATATATCCTTATTCTTAACAATTTATAAACAAAAAGAAAAGGTTCCTACTTCTTAAAAAACCTAATTAATTTAACAAGAAAATTTCAACTTCCCCGAGAAAGGCTCACTGATTAATTTATCTACTTGGGAAATGCCTAAACTCTTTATTCTGTTTAGTTTCACTCAACAGCCAGGATATTCTATATTGGAGGAAATGGTGTTCTTTTGTTCTCGAATGGCACTAAATACATGTGCGTGGCCCATGTGAGTTAAACCACAGCTACTGGAGGACAACTGTATTTACTTTTGTATTCCTTCCTATGGTAAGTCTGTAGTACTCTACATATATATTCTACTCAATGAACACTAAAAGCTTGCTGAATGATTTTTGTGAGTCAAGTTGCTTTAAGCATTTAGATCCATGAAGAATACAGAACTGTGAAAATAAAACCCAGGACAAAGCCTGTGGATATTGTTCTAGAAGCATGTTCTGCAGATAACAGAAGTGGCAGGCATTTGATGCAGTGGTTAAGATGACACTTGGATGCCCACATCCCTTACTGGAATTCTGGTGCTCAAGTCCCGGCTTTGCTTCTGATTCAAGCTTTCGGCTAATGCATACCCTAAGAGGCTATGACAATGGCTCAAGTACTTGGGTCCCTGATACCATATGAGACCCAGAAAGAGTTCTGAACTCCTGGCTTTAAGTGGCCCAAGCTGGCTTCTGTAGTCTTTTGGGGAGTGATTTAGTGGATGGAAGATATTTTTGTCTCTTTCTCTGCCTTTCAAATAAAATGAAATAAATTAAGTTTTTTAAAAAAAGAAAGTAGATAATGAAAGGCTCATGCGAGGTTTTTAACAATATCTTATATGAACCCAAGAGAATTTATTTCCATTGGAACTCAAGATTCTTGTTTAATCCTTATAAAACTATGAGGAAGTTAGCTATTATTTCCACTTTCCTGATAATAAAGTTAAGGACAAGAGAGTTAAAATCCAGGTTAAGATAACTGAAGCTTAAGCCATTATGCTTCTCCATTTTAGAGATAAACATATTAAGAGATGAAATATGGCACACGGTAGGGTGGGAGTATGGGGAGGGAAAAAACTCTCTAGCAAAAACAATAAAAGACTTTTTTTCATTCCCCACAAAAATTATCTGTAGCCTACCAAAGGACAAATATGAAGTCTTAAATTGTGAAACTTTGGGCCCGGCACTGTGGCGTAGTGAGTAAAGCTGCTGCCTGCGGTGCAGAAATCCTATATGGGTGCTGGTTCAAGTCCTGGCTGCTCCACTTCCAATCCAGCTCTCTGCTATGGCCTGGGAAAGCAGTATAAGATGGCCCAAGTCCTTGGGCCCCTGCACCCATGTGGGAGACCCAGAGGAAGTTCCTGGCTCTGGTTTCGGATCAATGCAGCTCTGGCCAATTGGGGAGTGAATCAGCAGATGGAAGACTTTTCTCTCTGATTCTCCTTCTCTCTCTGTGTAACTCTGACTTAAATAAATAAATAAAACTTCAAAAAAATAAATAAATTGTGAAACTTTAAGTCTTACATATTTCTTCAATAAATCAAAGGTAGTCTAGAAAGTATCTAAGTTTTTCAACCTTGAGAATCTCATCTCAAGAATAAATGCAACTATCATCACCCTAAAGGTCCTATTCCACTTGTTCATCAGTAAACATACACAAAATAACCCCCTTAAAATGAACAGAAGTTTACATTTCTACTGTAAAACCAAAAAATTTCTGGTCCTATTTCAGAACCTATTAATTCTAAATAATTATTACTTCAAGTGAAGTAACTCAGCTCATTCTCGACAACTGAAGAAACATTTGGGAACTTGGGAGGCTCCTGTGGAGTTAAGATACACTGAAAACAATAGTTTCTCTCTCCAGGAAAATGAGATTTATATGGTTGGGGCCAATCTGTTTGGTCTGTAATTACCGACAAGAGAAATGAGGCCAAACACCACATAATTATACCTCAATATCCCTCTGGAAATCAAACAGGTCAATGCGCTGCCAGTTACTTCCATCCAGAGCCAGAACATTCCAGGCCTGTTTTGAAGAAAAAGAGAGTAAATGAGCAAAAGCTGAATGAAGAGGAAAAACTAGCAATATTCAACTTCACAATTCAATCAACTAATCACTGCAACAGACCAAAAAATTATTCAGGCCTACCACTATCTCCCAAATAAAGTGTGTTAATCCTAATCCATATTTTATTTTCCAATTGAATTATCTCATTAAATGAGTGGAACAGAAATTGGCGACCACAAAGATCTTCAATTAGGGAAGTCAGGGAAAGGGCAGGCTGTCATGAGCGTCATAGCCAGAAGTTGTTTTCAAATTGGAAATTCTAATTTCTCATCTCAAAATGAGGCAGAAATTCGCTGATAAAAACCAAGTGTTTGGCTGGCACCGCGGCTCACTAGGCTAATCTTCCGCCTTGCGGCGCCGGCACACTGGGTTCTAGTCCCGGTCAGGGCGCTGGATTCTGTCCCAGTGGCCCCTCTTCCAGGCCAGCTCTCTGCTGTGGCCAGGGAGTGCAGTGGAGGATGGCCCAAGTGCTTGGGCCCTGCACCCCATGGGAGACCAGGAGAAGTACCTGGCTCTTGCCATCGGATCAGCGCGGTGCGCCGGCCGCAGCACACCAGCCGCGGCGGCCATTGGAGGGTGAACCAACGGCAAAGAAAGACCTTTCTCTCTGTCTCTCTCACTGTCCACTCTGCCTGTCAAAAAAAATTAATAATAATAATAAAAAAAGCAAGTCTTTGCTCCATCCCTAAATTGGGGATAAGATAATCGTGAAACCAAAGAAAGAGGGATAGAACATAAATTTGCTATTCACAGTATCACTTGGTTAGACTTGAAACTGTGGAATGTTTATTTGAGATAAAGAAAAGAAATGACAGTTTCTCTAATAAATTATTTCCTCATTGCCAATTTGCTCACTCAGGTATGTTTGTCAATGAATCCCCTTTCCCTTCAACTTGATTGAGTAGTAATTTCAAAACTGGGAAAGACTTCTTATCATCTCTTCAACAAGTTAAGAGTAGTCAAGAAAGTGTCTAAGCTTTTTTTTTTTTTTTAAGATTTATTTATTTATTTGAAAGAGTTACACAGAGAGAAAAAGAGAGGCAGAGAGAGAGAGAGAGAGAGACTGACTTCCATCCATTGGTTCAATCCCCAATTGGCTGCAATGGGCAGAGCTGCGCTGATCTGAAGCAAGGAGCTTCCTCCAGGTCTCCCACGCAGGTACAGGAGCCCAAGGATTTATGCCATCTTCCACTGCTTTCCCAGGCCAAAGCAGGGAGCTGGATTGGAAGTGGAGCAGCTGGGACCCGAACCCGCTCCCATATGCGATGCTGGCACTGCAGGTGGCAGTTTTATTCGCTACGCCACAGTGCCAGCCCCACGTTTAAGCTTTTAATGTTAAGGATTAGGTGAGAAATGACTCCAATAACTTAATTTGTTGTGGATCATTACATATTTTTTATTTTTTATTTTTTTTTATTACAGGAAGAGTGGACAGTGAGAGAGACAGAGAGAAAGGTCTTCCTTTGCCGTTGGTTCACCCTCCAATGGCCGCCACGGACGGCGCGCTGCGGCCGGCGCACCACGCTAATCCAATGGCAGGAGCCAGGTACTTCTCCTGGTCTCCCATGGGGTGCAGGGCCCAAGCACTTGGGCCATCCTCCACTGCACTCCCTGGCCACAGCAGAGAGCTGGCCTGGAAGAGGGGCAACCGGGACAGAATCCAGCGCCCCGACCGGGACTAGAACCCGGTGTGCCGGCATATTTTAATCAGAAAGCCTTTAAAAGTTTACTTTTAACATTTAAAATGTAACAAAAGTCTTTATATATATATGTGTAGTGTGTGTGTGTGTGTGTGTGTGTGTGTGTGTATATATATATATAAAGAGTATTTTCTCGAGGCTAGCACCATGGCATTGTGGTAAAGCCACTCTGCAGTGCCAGCATTCCGCATGGGCACCAGTTCAAGTCCCAGCTGCTCCACTTCCAATCTAGCTCTCTGCTATGGCCTGGGAAGGCAGTAGAAGATGGCCCAAGTCCTTGGGCCCCTGCACGTACATGGGAGACCAGATGAAGCTCCAGGCTCCTGGCTTCATACTGGCTCAGCTCTGGCCATTGTAGCCACTTGGGGAGTGAACCAGCAGATGGAAGACTTCTCTCTCTCCTTCTCAGCCTATCTGTGACTCTACCTTTCAAGTAAATAAATAGATTTTTTTTAAAGAGTATTTTCTCTTATTACAACAAATTAAAAAGGATTTAACATTGGTTATACTTACAGCTGACTCTGAAGTTTAAAAAAGAAATTCTGGGGCTGGTGCTGTGGCGCAGTGGGTTAATGCCCTGGCCTGAAGCGCCGGCATCCCATATGGGTGCCTGTTCGAGGCCCAGCTGCTCCATTTCCGATCCAGCCCTCTGCTATGGCCTGGGAAAGCAGTAGAAGATGGTCCAAGTCCTTGGGCTCCTGCACCCGTGTGGAAGACCCGGAAGAAGCTCCTGGCTCCTGGCTTTGGATCGGCGCAGCCTGGCCATTGTGGCCAATTGGGGAGTGAGCCAGTGGATGGAAGACCTCTCTCTCTCTCTTTCTCTCTCTCTCTCTCTGCCTCTCCTCTCTCTGTGTAACTCTGGCTTTCAAATAAATAAATAACTCTTAAAAAAAAAAAAAAGAAATTCTGGATTAGAAACCCTGGGGTAACTGTCACACAGTTAAGCTAGACAGTTGTCAGAGTTCCTATGAAGGTAAGTGAGTAGCTATCATTCTAGCAATATATGAAGGTTTCTCAGAAGTTCAAGGTTACTTTCCTTTCTGGGATTTCATATTCTCAATTGTTTCTTATATGTCCCATCATGGTGAGCAACGAGTAAAAATTTTTAAGATAATATGTTTAGTAGCTTCTGAACTACACACTTCTCTGATTCGGTATGATATTTCTCATTTCCTTACACTACTTTCTCCAGCAACCAGGAAACATGAAGAACTCAGGCTAAAATTAGGAATAACAGGTGTCTCTCTGGAGTTTGCATTTATAAAAACCTTTCAAGTACAAAGAAAAATGACAGCTAACGATGTACCAACAATCCAGATACAATGAAAAATCTGCACTGTGTCTTTCTTTCCTGAAAGTTAACATATTAAGGAAGAAGAATCTGAAAATGAACATAATTAAACATCATTCAAATCAACACTCTTCAGGTGAGACTCTGCAAACTAAACAGCTTTAGACAATGGTCTGGGTATTTTATTGTTTCTGAATGATGACTTCAGTTTTATAGGGAGACAGGAAAAAAGATTCATTTAAAGTATAATGTCCAAGTCTAGAGAGATTACAAAAGAAACAGGGAGGAAATATCATAAAAGAAATCATCAAAATGCTCCTGGTTGTTCCTAAATTAGCTAATATACTGATTTAGTATGGAATGGAAATTACTTTTTTTTTTTTGACAGGCAGAGTGGACAGTGAGAGAGAGAGACAGAGAGAAAGGTCTTCCTTTGCCGTTGGTTCACTCTCCAATGGCCGCCGCGGCCATTGCGCTGCGGCCGGCGCACCGCGCTGATCCGATGGCAGGAGCCAGGAGCCAGGTGCTTTTCCTGGTCTCCCATGGGGTGCAGGGCCCAAGGACTTGGGCCATCCTCCACTGCACTCCCTGGCCACAGCAGAGAGCTGGCCTGGAAGAGGGGCAACCGGGACAGAATCCAGCGCCCCGACCGGGACTAGAACCCGGTGTGCCGGCGGCGCTAGGCGGAGGATTAGCCTAGTGAGCCGCGGCGCCGGCCATGGAATGGAAATTACTTTAACACTAGCACGGGGTGGGTGTTGTACACAGCAGGTTAAGTCATCGCTCGAGACTTCTGCATTTTACATTGGAGGGCCTGGTTCGAAATGGAATACTCTGCTTCTGATCAGCTTCATGCTTATCTGCCTGGGAGGCAGCAGGTAATGGCTAATTCCTAAGTTCCTGTCACATGGGAGACCTGGATGGAGTTCTGGCTTTGGCTTGGTGCAGCCACAGCCGTTGCAGGCATTTGGGGTGTGAACCAGCAGACAGAAGGTTTCTGTCTCTGTCTCTCTTTCCTTCTCTCTCTGCCTTTCAAATAAATAAACCTTGATTTTAAAATACCATAACAAGGTGAAGTTTTTTTGTTTTTTTTTTTTGACAGGCAGAGTGGACAGTGAGAGAGAGAGAGACAGAGAGAAAGGTCTTCTTTGCCGTTGGTTCACCCTCCAACGGCCGCCACGCTGTGGCCGGTGCACTGCGCTGATCTGATGACTGGAGCCAGGTACTTCTCCTGGTCTCCCATGGGGTGCAGGGCCCAAGCACTTGGGCCATCCTCCACTGCACTCCCTGGCCACAGCAGAGAACTGGCCTGGAAGAGGGGCAACCGGGACAGAATCCAGCGCCCTGACCGGAACCCAGTGTGCCGGCCCCGCAAGGCGGAGGATTAGCCTAGTGAGCCGCGGCGCCGGCCCGACAAGGTGAAGTTTTAATATTGTTTTTGGGGTGTGGTGGTGGTAGTGATGGGGGTGATTTCAAGGGACACTTGGGTCCACTTACATAAATAAGCATACTTTATAAGATCATATTACCAATCTAGCATATAGTAGATTCCCAAAAAATACTTATTAAATGGATGAACACACAAAAAGCCAGCTTATAAAAAGATGACAACTGTTAACACTCCTTTATTTTATTAATTATTATATATCTGCATTACAAAAAGGACTAGTAATGGTTCATAAAGCAATCTTCCCGGGGCCAGCGCTGTGGCATAGTGGGCAAAACCTCCACCTGCAGTGCTGGCACCCATATGGGTGCCAGTTCGAGTCCTGGCAGCTCCACTTCTGATCCAGCTCTCTGCTATGGCCTGGGAAAGCAGTAGAAGATAGCCCAAATCTTTGGGCCCCTGTACCCACATGGGAGACCCACACAAGTTCCTGGTTCCTGGCTTCTGATGCACCCAGCTCTGACCATTGCGGCCAGTGGATGGAAGATTCTCTCTCTCTGCCTCACTATAACTCTGCCTTGTAAGTAAGTAAGTAAATAAGTAAATAGGTAAATAAATAAATAAATAAATCTTTTTTTAAAAGCAATCTTCCCACAACAGAGATCATATTCTTTATATTACTGGCAGCCAGTAAGATTATGTTTCACTGTTTTATCACAGCAATGTCAACTGCCGAAAGTGGGTAAAATATACTGAAGAGAATGATTTAAGGAAGAAAATCTGCTTTGCTCTATAACTTTCCTGTTTTTGTTTTTTCTAAATCTAGCTATAAGTTAAGAATATGAGAAAACAATATGAAAATTAGACACTTAAGAGGCACGTGTGTATGTGTATAAAACCAGAAAAACATAATAAAATACAACTTCATTACAATTTTGAGTAAAGCCTAATACTTTATGAATGTTCAATGTTTTTTCAACTCTTCTGTTTACATTATGAAAATAGGATTAGAAAAAGTCAGAGATTGCATATATAGTATAATCTCATCACAGAATTACAAGGGCTTGGGAATTTTATGGCTGGAATACCATGCTTGAGAACATAACATTCAAGTAACATCGAAAATAAATGGTCAGTTTTCCACATGGGCTATCATCATCAGTGTCAGGAAAGGGGGATGTCCCCTGTAACCGGTCAATCATTCTTACCCTGGAGACTTGAGCACAGCGACACAAGGTAACGACATCCAGAAAAGAAAATATCCTAAAAAGAAGAGGAGACAAATTTTATTGTATGATAGTTTCTTTATATTTTAGCCTATAATAATTCACTTTCCACATATACATGTGTGTACACACACATACACACAATCTTGAACAATTTACAAAGATAATAATGCCTGCATAAAACACAGTGGAAGAAAATATTTTTTAAAAAGATTTACTTATTTATTTGAAATGCAGAGTTACAGAGAGAGCAAGAGAGAGAGAGAGAGAGAGAAGAGACAGAGATCTGCCATTCACTGGTTCACTTCCCAAATGGCTGCAACAACAGCTGGAGCTGGGCGCATCTAAAGCCAGGAGCCGCTTCTGGGTCTTCCACATGGGTACAGGGGACAAAGTACTTGGGCCATCTTCCACTGCTTTCCCAAGCACATTAGCAGTGAGCTGGATTGGAAACGGAGTAGCCAGGACTTGAACTGATGCCAATATGGTATGCTGGTGCTGCAAATGGTGGCTTAACCCTCTAGTGCCGGCCCCAGAAAGTACTCTTTTAGTTTACAATGTACATATAAATGCTGCACAAAATTACATCAAAGGACAATGATTTCTGACAGTATTTTTTTTTAAAGTGAAGAAATTTTCCCACATCTAGTTATCAAAGAAATAGGCTTGAGATTAGTGTTATAAATAATTTTGTGACAATGGATAAAATATTTAATAAAACCTAAAAAAATAGCAACTATAAAATGTGAATTCTTTGTTTAAAAAAATTTGTTAGGGGCCAATGCTATGGCATAGCAGGTTAAGCTGCTGCCTGCAGTGCTGACATCCCATATGGGCGCTGGTTTGAGACCCAGCTACTCCACTTCCAATCTAGTTCTCTACTATGGCCTGGGAAAGCAGTAGAAGATGGACCAAGTCCTTGGGCCCCTGCACCTATGTGGGAGACCCTGAAGAAGCTCCTGACTCCTAGCTTCAGATTGGCGCAGCTCTGGCTGTTGTGGCCAATTGGGGAGTGAACCAGAGGATGGAAGACACCTCTCTCTCTCTCTCTCTCTCTCTCTCTCTCTCTGCCTCTTCTTCTCTGACTTTCAAATAAATAAATAAATCTTAAAAGAAATTGTTAGAGAAGCCAAGAGACAGACACAGAGATTATCCATTCACTGGTTCACTTCCCAAAGTAACAGCCAGGGCTGGGCCAGACCAAATTAGGAGCCTGGAACTCAATCTGGGTCTCCCATGTGGCAGGAATGGAAGCAAGTACTTGAGCCATCACCTGTTGCCTCCCAGGGTGCACACTGGCAGGAAGCTGGAATGGAGAGTGGAGACTGGACTCAAAACCAGGCACTCCAGTAAGGGATGCTGATGTCTCAAGCAGCATCATACTTGCTAGGACAAACACCTACCATCAAATTTCCATATATTTAATGATATTTTAGTAACTTACAAAACTCTTCAAAAAGCAACAATGTTAAGAAATACTGCTGGACCTGGCTCCTGCCTTCGGATAGGCGCGGTGCGCCAGCCGCAGCACGCTGGCCGCAGCGGCCATTGGAGGGTGAACCAACGGCAAAAGGAAGACCTTTCTTTCTCTCTGTCTCTCTCACTGTTCACTCTGTCAAAAAAAAAAAAAAAAAAAAAAAAAAAAAAAAAAAAAAAAAGAAATACTGCTGGAAGTTTTTTTTAGTCTTATAGAAACTAAATATATATTTACTTTGAAGTAGACCAATAATTTATCTGTCTAAAACCTGATAAACTATACCTTAAACCATTTGTATAAATAGGTCAGAGATTCTTGGGAATAAATAGGACACTTATATTTGAAGCCCTCTTCACTCATGAACATTTTTTTTTTTAAAGATTTATTTATTTGAAAGGCAGAGGCAGAGGGGCCGGCACCCTGACTCACTCGGTTAATCCTCCGCCCAGTTCTAGTCTTGGATGCTCCTCTTCTAGTCTAGCTCTCTGCTGTGGCCCGGGAAGGTAGTGGAGGATGGCCCAAGTGCTTGGGCCCTGCACCCACATGGGAGACTAGGAGGAAGCACCTGGCTCCTGGCTTTGGATCGGCACAGCGCCGGCTGTGGCAGCCATTTGGAGAGTGAACCAGTGGAAGGAAGACCTATCTCTCTGTCTCTCTCTCTCTCTCACTGTCTAACTCTATCTGTCAAATAAATAAATTTAAAAAAAAAAAGAAAGAAAGAAAGGCAGAGGCAGAGAGACAGAGAAAGAGAGAGAGGGGTCGTCCATCTGCTGGTTCACTCGCTAGATGCCTGCACAGTCAGAGCTGGGCCCATACCCAGCTTCTTCTGGGTCTCTCACGCAGTGCAGGGGCCCAAGAACTTGGGCCATCTTCCACTGCTTTCCCAGGCCATAGCAGAAAGCTGGATCTGAAGTGGAGCAGCCAGGACTTGAACTGGCACCCATATATGGGATGTTGGCACTGGCAGGTGGCGGCTTCACCGGCTACACCACAGAGCCAGCCTCTCATGAACAATCATAAAGTTCATGTTGATCTGAATGACAAGCTAAATTTTTCTGATAGTGGCAAAAAAGTACAGTATAGCATGTGCTTAACAGATTTAAGTGAATGAAAGTTCATTTTGCTTTAAGGATAATATGAGGGTCAGTGTGGTAGTGTAGTGGGTAAAGCTGCATCTGTGATACTGGCATCCCACATGGGTACTGGTTGATGTCTCGGCTGCCCCATTTCAAAACAGCTCCCTGCTAATGGCCTAGGAAAAGCAGCAGAAGATGGCCCAAGTGTTTTGGTGCCTGCCACCCATGTGGGAAACCCAACTGAAGCTCTTGCCTCCTGCCTCTGGACCTGACCTAACCTGGGCCACTGAGGCTATTTGGGGAGTGAACCCACGGATGGAAGGGTTCTCTCTCTGTCTTTCCCTCTCTCTGTAACTTTGACTTTCAAATAAATAAATAAATAAATCTTAAATAAAAATAAAGAATGATATGATATTCCTTGAGATAACTGGAAATATCTAGAGTATTACATAATAGAGGTCAGTATTAGTTTGGAAGAGGCAGGCCAAATATTCTAGTCCATAGTTAGCTCAAGCATAAAAAAAAAACCTTCTGAGTTAGTGTAAAAGAACAAAATTTTGTTGTTTGGTGATTAGGGGCTATCAGTCACATTTTGGAACTTAGAATAAGCTGAGTTAATACAATTATATCCAACAGAAAATCATGTGCATTTTATAAATATTTTCAGGCAGTGGTTTAACCTGTTGCACCCCAATTAGTAAATGTTTTCTCCCATTCTGAGGTTGTCTTTTCACTGTTGACAATGTATTTTAATACACAAAATTTTTTAATCACTAGGTAAGTCCAATTTATCACTTTTTTTGTTTTTTCTTCTTTTTCCAGAACTTTTGGTATCACACATAACAAATTCTTGTCAAAACCAAGGACATGAAGCTTTCTCTTATTTTCTTCAAAGAATTTTTCTAATTTCAGCTCTTACATTTAGGCCTTTGATTACTGTATTGATTGAAAGTTCCAGCTTCATTCTTTTGCATGTGGATATTCTGTTTCCTCAACACTATTTATTGAAACTATTGTTCTTTTCCCATTGAATGGTCTTGTCATCTTTCTCAAAAAATCATTTGGCCCTTTTCACTCAAGAAGCCTCCATAATACAGGGTCTGGAGTTGTAGCTCAGCAGGTTAAGGTGCCCGCAACACTGACATTCCATATGAGCTCGTTTAAGTCCTGGCTGCTCCACTTTTTTTTTTTTTTTTAAAGATTTATTTATTTATTTATTTGACAGGTAGAGTTACAGATAGTGAGAGAGAGAGACAGGTCTTCCTTCCTTTGGTTCACTCCCCAAATGGCTGCCACAGCTGGTGCTGTGCCGATCCAAAGCCAGGAACCAGGAGCTTCTTCCTGGTCTTCCATGCAGGTGCAAGGACCCAAGCACTTGGGCCATCCTCCGCTGCCTTCACGGGCCACAGCAGAGAGCTGGACTGGAAAAGGAGCAACTGAGACTAGAACCCTGTGCCCATATGGGATGCCGATGCCGCAGGCGGAGGATTAACCAAGTGAGCCATGGCGCTGGCCCCTGCTCCACTTTCGATCCAGCTCCCTACTAATGTACTTGCAAAGGCAGTGGAAGATGGATCAAATGCTTGGGTCCCTGCCATTTATTGAGAGACCTTAATGGAGTTCCAGACTCCTGGTTTGGGCCTGGTCCCACTCTAGTCATTGCGGCCATTTGGAGAGTGAACTAGCAGATGGAAGCCATCTTTGTCTCTTGGACTCTCCCTCCTCCTTTGTGTCACGCTTTCAATAAAATATTTTTTTAAAAAAAGAACCCTTTTTATGAGAAGATTCCTGAGTTCTTGACTCTTTTCCATCAGCTTATGTATCTGTCTTATGACAATGCTATCCCACTCTAAGTATTTTTAGTTTTGGAGCAGAAGTTACTTTTAGTGACTTAAGTAGTTGGATGATGTCAGAAAAACAAGTAGAATGGGGCTAGTGCTGTGGTGTGTGGGTTAAGTCACTGCCTAAACCTCTTCTTATCCAGCTCTCTGCTGATGTGTCTGGGAAAGCAGCAGAAGATGGCCCAGGTATCTGGGCCCCTGAACCCACATGGGAGATCTGGAAGAAGCTCCAGGCTTCAGATTGGCCCAGCTCTGGCCATTAAGTCCATTTCGGGAGTGAACCAGTGGATGGATGATTTCTCTCTCTCTTTCTCTCACTCTCTGTAACTCTGCCTTTCAAATAAAATAAATAAATCTTTATTTTTCAAAAAGATTTATTTTATTTGAAAGGCAGAGTTAGATAGAGAGATTACGAGAGAAAGAGAGAGATTACGGAAAGAGAGATCTTCCTTCTGCTGATTCACTCCCCAAAAGGCTACAAAAGTGGAGGCTGGAACTCCATCTGGGTCTCCCATGCAGGTGCAAGTGCCCAAGCACTTGGGCCATGTTTTGTTGTTTTTCCCAAGCACATCAGTAGGGAACTGGATTGGAAGAAAAGCAGCTGGGACTTGAACTGGTGCCATATGGGATGCCAGTGTCACAG